AGGTAAGGGGTGTTTTGTTTTTTTTTTAAAGCCATAGTCTGGATTTTCTGACAGATGTCAACCAGGTCACAGTCATTTACAGACAACACGGTTGAACATCCACCCAGAAACAGGCACAGGAAAAGGTTTTCATTTAGATGAGCACGTAGGAGCGATGGATGATCAAGTTACATAGCCCAGGTTACTCGGCGTTTCTGCATCTGTGAGTCCCTATGGAGCCTATTCTCCTTGGACAGATCAGAGTGCGCGTGGACAATGCTAGGCAGAATGGGGCTGCGCTCTGGTAATGAAATCACTTGGATAGAACTCCCAGACTGCTGTCTCACGTCACTGTCGCAGCCAGAGTTTCCCATGGTGGATTCAGAGGCACTATTCTTCATGACCCGCCGGTACTCTAGGAGAGAGAAGAGTCCTGGGGAAGAGAGAAGCCGGGGGAGGGCGATAGAGGAACAGTAGATGTTTCATGAAATCGTCAAGAAATATTTCCCTCTAAGATACCAGAGAGACGCTGACCCAAAGCCCGGTGGGGGGGGGGTATCTCTTTTGAACTGCCCCCAAGAAATTTGGAAGGAGGTCCAAATGCTTCAGTTGAACAGACTAAAATTGGATGCAGGAGACACTTCCCAACAAAACAAAATTAAGGATTTTTTTTTGAAAAGGGACTTGCCTCTGAGTTAGGAATTTCTAAATGAAATTTTAAAACTCTTCTAGAGCCAGCCATCGGTTTGGCTCAGTGGATAGAGGTCGGCCTGCAGACCAAAGGGTCCCAGGTTCCATTCCAGTCAAGGGCATGTACCCTGGTTGCAGACTCCTCCCGGCCCGAGCCCTGGTCAGGGCTTGTGCAGGAGGCACCCCATCGATGTGTTTCTCTCACATCCGTGTCTCTCTCTGTCTTTCCTTCTCTCTCCCACTTTCCCTAAAAAGAAAAATCAATCAATCAATCAATGGAAAAATATCCTCAGTTGAGGATTAACAAAAAAACAAACACAAGACAAAACCACCTTTAGAAGCAAGGGTCTCCAATATTGGTGGCTGGACATTTAGTATTAGGGATTGCTTTTCTCTGATCTAAAACTGCCCTGGCATGACACTGCCCACCCACCTACGTGAACATTCCATGCTATGCACGCTCTCTAGTCTTCCCTGAGATGGGGAGGGTGTGAGAGACGGTAGCAAAGGTGGAGGTAAGGAGCTGCCCTCTTAGGCCAGCACGTCGACCATGTCACCCAGTCCTGAACTCCAGCTCTATCGCTAGAGGAATTGTCATCCGAGAGCGAGTCCACTTGAACTTTACCCCCTTAAAATGCAAGGATCGGTCCTTTTTCCTTATTCCCTTTCCCCGTCCTTTCACTCTCCCTCCCACCCAGGGTGGATTGGATCTCGTTCCCCATCAAAGGCCCTTAAAACGCTCACCAGAGGCAAAATGGAAGAAAACGCTAATGTAGGAATGTTCAATGTTCCCGGTGACATGATAATTAGAGTAGTACACGGATTTGCCTTGCCTCAGCTTTATGTGATACAGGAGGAGTGCGGAGAGCAGAAGGACACCTAGTGGCCAAACCAAAGGAGAAAAAAAAAAGAAAAAGCCCCTTTTGAGGAACCGTGATGCCTCCACCCATCTTAACCCCCAGAGGGGCCTAATTTCTAAGCCTCCACCCTGCATATAGGCACCTCATCCACGTCTGTGGATGGTTCCATTCAGAAGCTGCATATCGGAGCCAAAACTCTGGGAAGGCCCCAATAGTCAGGAACTACAGGCTGGGCTCACAGACCAAGTACACGGCCACGCCCGTGTTAGGGGAGCCAGGGGGTCTTACCGGTGAAGAACGTGAGGAAGACAGCCATGAAGATGACGCACGCCGTTTGAGGAATCATATAGGTGAATTCCAATCCCAGGAAGAAGTTATAAAAGTAGGAAAGGCTGAGGACTATAATCAGCATGACTCTGATCACTTCCATGTCACCTGTTGGAAAGCAGATGTTCTCTTGAGAGAAGGACTGATGTTTCTTCTAGGCCAGCCGTGGGCAAACTACGGCCCGCGGGCCGGATCCAGCCCGTTTGAAATGAATAAAACTAAAAAAAAAAAAAAGACCGTACCCTTTTATGTAATGATGTTTACTTTGAATTTATATTAGTTCACACAAACACTCCATCCATGCTTTTGTTCCGGCCCTCCGGTCCAGTTTAAGAACCCATTGTGGCCCTCGAGTCAAAAAGTTTGCCCACCCCTGTTCCAGGCTCATTTCCACCCAGGGGCCACACATCTCTAAGTCAAAATGGAAATGGGGCGGGGGGTGGGGGGTGCGTTTGAGAGATTTGATTACATCATACAGACAGAAGTGGGGGTGACGAAGAAGCAGGAAGCCATAAGCTGAATGGGAGAGAGAACCCCAAGAAACCATTGCTATCTTAGTATCTCTGTCAGCTTCTTTTCTCCTCCTTCCCTTCTGCAGAACTCATTTCTTAGGAAATACTCGAATTTCTCCTGTTCACCTCGGCTGTCCACATAACCGACTTGCCTTGTTGCCCATTGCCTTTCTTTTTTTAAAAATATATATTTTATTGATTTTTTACAGAGAGGAAGGGAGAGAGAGAGAGAGTTAGAAACATCGATGAGAGAGAGACATCGATCAGCTGCCTCCTGCACATCTGCTACTGGGGATGTGCCCGCAACCCAGGTACATGCCCTTGACCGGAATCGAACCTGGGACCTTTCAGTCCGCAGGCCAACGCTCTATCCACTGAGCCAAACCGGTTTCGGCCATTGCCTTTCTTTTATACCCTTCTGTTCTTGCTGTGCTGGGTCACCCTGCTGCTCCTGCCAAGACCTCTCTACTGTCCAGCCAGTACGTCTGTGAACTTCAAAACATCCCCAAGACATTAGAAATAGCGAGGTTTTTGAACTCTGTCTTGACTATATGGATTATGAAAGTGGGCCCACTGCAGCCGGAGGACATTGCATCCGAGAATAACGAGTAAGCTGGTAAGGTAAATGGAAGTCAAGGGAAGGTGAACCCTCCCTCTCCACCCATCTTCCTAGGGTCTCGTTCTTACCTTTTGGCCAAATAGTACTCTGTATCCATGGGCTGTGGCTTTTTGTAGTTGCTCTGGCCTCAATATTTATTCTAACCCAGTCATTGACCAAAATCCCTACTGCCAAGAAGACTAAGGCCCAAGAAGAGATGAACATGTTGATGGCCTGGATAGCTCTAATTGATAGCTGCATGATGGCAAGCAAAGAGTTCGAGCGGAGACCACCACCAGTAGCTCACATGCCTTCCTTCTGATTTGATTCGTCGTCACAGGAAGAAGAGAAAAATCTAGATGTTTAGTGATCGCTGAGGCATTGGCTGTGGCAGAAGCTGAAAGAGCCTTTGGGACCACTCCTATAGTGGGGCCAAACTGCTCTCAGGGATGCCAACTGCCATGGAATCATCGGTTGGTTTGACCCTAGACCCTGGGGCCTGGTTCAGTGGAAGGAACCAAGGGGCCCAGGAGTTCTGAGGAAGCTCTCAGCTAGACAGGGAGATATGATACCACACGCAGAGGTAATTATCAGGTACACAGATCACTAAAGGCCTGGAAATAAGTGAAACATGCATGACTAAGGAGGTCTAAGGACTTCATTGTTGTTAATCCTCACCCAAGGATATTTTTCCATTGATTTTTAGGAAGATTGGAAGAGAGAGTGAAAGACAGAGAGAAACATTGATGTGAGATGTGAGAAAAACACATCGATTTTATGTCTTTAATGGGAATTGGTCCACAGGTGATGCTCTATCCACTGAGCCAAACCAACTAGGACAGGAGGTCTCATTTTAGAGTTAGAATTATAGGTTCCAGGGTTAGTTGATATTATAGGCGGGGATTAGTGAAGGACGGTAAGAATTAAAGATCTTTGACACAAGTGTCAACTAGTAGCATTAAAAAAAAGGGGGGGGGAATCACCATTCAAAATTTAGGATTTTTTGGAGAAACTTGGTTCCTCATTTGGGTAGCCTAAAGCAGTTTAATCAGGCGGGCATCTAGGAACTAGACCAGTGTCTTGAAACGGAAAGAAATGGACTGATACACCAAACCAATATTGCACGCCAATATCATTTACTTATAAAGTGCAGATAATTATTTGTCAGGATTGCCTTTGTATCTAGGCAAAGTAAACATTTTTGATTCCTTGAAGAGGCAACCATGTATACCCTACGCTCAGAGCCAGAGCACTTGTACTTCAACAAAAATAAATAATAAGAGCTTTTTCCTGAACTAAGATGGAAGTCACCTCCAAAACCTGTCTGCCTATTTCTTCAACCTCATTGCAGAACCTGGAATTGCTGGATTCCTTTCATTGTCTCAAACACACTCTGTTGTCTTTCAGGCCTCTGTACACATCTTATTACATTGTATATATCTTTCTAAAAATGTATATTTGTTCATTTAAGAGAGGAAGGGAGAGGGAGAGAGAGAGATAGAAACATCAAATGATGAGAGAGAAACCTTGATCGGCTGCCTCCTGCATGCCCCCTACTAGGGATCGAGCCCACAACCCAGACATGTGCCCTGACTTGGAATCGACTATGACCTCCTGGTTCATAGGTTGACACTCAACCACTGAGCCACGATGGTTGGGCATATAGCTTTTTAATTTTTTGAAATAATGCTCAATATATTTAATCTTACAAAGGAGACATTAATGAAATGGCCTCCGGATCCTGGTTTTAAATCCCGATTCTACCACTAAGAAGCTTTGTGGTCTTACAGATGATAATGCTTCCTACTACATAAGAATTTTGTAAGAATTAAATTAATTTAGAGACGTAAAGATGTCTTAAAAAGAGCTCCTGGCACATAAATGATACAGAAGCAATGACCCTCATCTTCATTTGGATTTCCTGGGAAGGAGATGCTAAGGTGGAGATTTCTTTGTGGGGAGTGGATTGGGAGTACACCCAGGAGCCACACCTGTTAAGTGCTTCCGGGAATCAGACTTGAGCAGAAGTTGAAATGAGATGCAGATGCAACCCAAGGAATGTTAGCCAACAGCTAACGCCAAGCGCTCTGGGTCTGGGGTGGTCCTTGGGAGTCATCTGAATGGAGCAAGAGAGTTGGTCATGGACTGCACGCTGCTCCTGGACAGTCCTTTATGTCTTGGGAACTGCACGCCTTCGCAGTCAGCACCTCTGGTGGCTGTGCGAGTGAGGGCTCGCCCTTCCCCACTCCTGTATCAGGGGCCAGCGTGCGGTTAGGACTGCCAGCTGCCATGGAGTTGTCTATCGGCTTGACCCTTGACCCTTGTGGACTAGTGAAGCAGAAGGACCAGGTAGGGAGTAGGGAACACACTAAGACAACTCATGCTATTACCTGCTCACATATTGATGCTTATATTGATTGCTATACAACAGAACCCAGGAGTAGGATTTCTAGGTGGAAAGATGGATGCCTCTTAAATTTAAAAAAAATTTTTTTTTTAAATCCTCACTCGAGGATATATTCCCCATTGACTTTTAGAGAGAGTGGCAGAGAGAAGGAAAGACAGAGAGAAATATCAATGTGAGAGAAACACTGACTGGTTGCCTCCTGCATGCGCCCTGACCAGGGCCAGGGTTAAGGAGGAGCCTGCAACCGAGGTATGTGCCCTTGACCAGAATCGAACCTGGGACTCTTCGGTCTGCAGGCTGATGCTCTATGCACTGAGCCAAACCAGCGAGGGTTCCACTACTGCCCCTTGCTCCACCTCAGTTACTACCGTCTCTGCTATTCCATCCTCCTCTTTGCTCTTCCTCCTTCCCCTTCTCTCATGAGACCTTTCTACCATCCTTAACACAAAATTCAGTGCCATTTTCGTTTCTGTACTGATCTCAACACAAGGTTTGTAATAGAGCTCAAGCTGAATGGGAAAATGACTGACACACAGATTCCCTAAATCTGAAGCAAAACAATAAGCCTTTAGAACCTACCCGCAAATGTTTCTAAAACCTACTGTATTTGTTTTCTAGAGCTGCTGTAACCAAGGACCACAAATAGTTTTCTTCAAACAACAAAAGATTATTGTCTCACAGTCTGACTTCATCTGAATTTGTTGAGATTTGAAAAGACTCTATTTCCAAATTAGATCATATTATGTGTTGTTGGGATTTAGAACTTACTCATATCTTGCTCTGGAGGGCACAATTAAATCCATAATTTACTTCTTGTAAATTATTCAATAGCCCTGGCTTAATTACGCTTTGTATCTCAATCAAGAATAAACTTGCTGTCAGCTAGATGGCAATGTTTTGTCTTATTTCCTGTAAATTCCTGTGGGTTCATTTTAGGTTTAAGATAAATATTATTATAATTTTACTAGAGGCTCGGTGCACGAAATGTTGTGCATGGGGAGCAGGATTCCTCAGCCCTGCCTGCTCCCTCTTGCAGTCTGGGACCCCTCGCTGCTTACCGCCCACCTGCAGCAGAGGCAGGAGAGGCTCCTGCCACCACCGCTGCACTTGCCAGCCATGAGCCTGGCTTCTGGCTGAGCAGTGGCTCCCCTGTGGGAGTGCACTGACCACCAGGGGGCAGCTTCTGTGTTGAGTGTCTACCCCCTGGTGGTCAGTGCATGTCATAGCGACTGGTCATTCCACCGTTTGGTCAATTTGCATATTAGGTTTTTATTATATAGGATTTCCCCCAAGAGTATTTACCTGTAAATGGGAGATTATTTAATCCATAAAACTCCCAGTACTTTGGCAGATGGTAAATAAAATATGAGCCCTACAGGGGAGCATGGGCTTTGTAATTCCCAGGGGCTTGACCTGATCGAAAGAATCATCACTCAAGCAAAGGTCAGAGCATCTGTCTGATGCTCGTGCTGATGAATTCCTCACCCATCCACCCTTTGGTCTGTTTTTCAAGCGTTCCCTTCTCTAGTGCAAGTCCAGTGATCACTTGTCAGCCCGTGATGAGGAGACTTTAAATGATGTTGATGGCTTCGCCTCTTGCCAATATCATTTATTTTTATTGTTTATAAGTGCCCACATGCCCCTGGCTTTTTGCCACAAAGAAAATCAAGTGTGAAGCTAAGAGCAAGATTCATTGACTGAGATTTCCGCAAGCAACACACAGAAAATGACCTTCATGATCTGCATAGGTAACACTGCTGTACCTGTCCAACAATGTGTATTTCATTGCTTTGCAAATAGCCTTGATAGTCCCTATGTAAATTAGTGCCTTGTCTCATGTTATTATGCATGGTTCCTGAGAAGGCAACAACTAGAATTATGAATGAACTTGGGGGGGCGGGGGGCGGGGTGTGTGTGTGAGAAAATGTAGAGTAACAAAGCAGGAACTCTATCAATGAACAGGCATTTCCTGGAGGCACATGATCTTCCCCTGAACCTGAAGCCTTGTATTTGGGGAGGAATTAAGCTGATTTCATTAAACCAGCTGGACCTGAGTCCCTCATGTCATCTGGGGCTAACTGTCAAACTCTACCCTGAACGAAAACACAATGAGTTTAGGTTGACCTGATAAATCGTTTTTCATTTGAGTTGGTCATCGGTGCCATGTTTCAGGGAGAAGGCATAGAATACAATGGAGAGAAAGGCCCCCAAAAAGATTTAGTTGATGATGTTGTAAGTGGAGGTATTGTCCAGCTATAGTGCTGAATACTGTATGTGTTATGCTTCTTAATCCTGCCAACAATTCTGTGGAGTTGGGTGTCACAGGTTGGGTTCCTAAAACAGCTGGCTAGGACATAAAATTTGGAAAGTAAAATGCTTTTAAGAAGTATCTTTGGGATCAAGACTTGTGGAGGGGGGGGAGGAAAATGAAGAAAGAATGGACAGAGGGAGAATTTGAACTGGTATAGAGGCCTCCAAAATTCAACTGGAATGGAGGCATGATAGTCCTTCAGACTTATCCCAAATTGGGCCCAGATGAAAAGGTCGTACAGGCCCATACCCATCAGTCATGAATGTGGACTGAGATAAGACATGACTCTGGTAGGACCACTTCTCTCCAATGTAGCTGACAAGATCCCTGAAGGAACTAACCTCTAAAAGCTGTTGCCAAAATAGTTGAGGAAGCGATTTTTCATCAAAGGGACACCTGGGGGGTATATCACAGTGTCCACCATGGTAGGTAAGTTTATCATTACTTTAGAGACAAAGAAAGAGAAGTTAAGAGAAGGTCATAATCCAAGGTTGTCATCATATCATCTTCATCATCATCATCAATCATCATCACAGTGACAATAATAATAATAATGACAGTTACTATTGTTCAGGACCTCCTCTAAGCCCTTCACGCGTGTCCTTCGGTATCACAACAACCCTGTGGGATAGGTAGTATTATAACCCCCACTTTCACAAACAAGAAACTGAGGCACAGAAAACATAAGTAACTTTCCACACGTAACACAGGCAGACCTAGGCGTGAAGCCCAGTATTGGGTCACGCTCCTACCCACCACGCAGTCACACAGCTCTCGGAATGTGAATCCAGAACTTTCTGATCATCAAGCCCATTCTTTAAAATAAGCTGGTTTGTTTCTCTCCCTCTCTCTCTCTCCCCGCCCCCCTCTCCCTTCCTCTCTGGGGAAAAAAATATAAATATATAGTATATATATATATATTCGACAGTGAAAAAAAATCAGTCTTAACCACACAACAAAGTTAAATTGGTGATTCAGTGACAGCTAATCATTTGTAAGAAACAACAGATGCCCTTACAATGAAGATATATTCCATGGTGGGTTTTTTAAAGCACACTTAACAAACTGAGTAATGCACTATAATGATCATGCTGATCTTTCAAACATGTATTCAGAGCTTGTAGTAATTTTTCCTCTGAGGATGCCAGAGGTTCACTTAATTGGTGATGAAGTTACAACAGGAGGCACTTCTTCCACACCCACCGCCAGCAGCTCCAGACAGCTCAGAGCGAAGGCTTCTGGGTGTGGAGCATTGGAGGGGGCCCTCAGTCCAATGAACCCCTTAGTCCCATGAACCCCTCAGTCCCATGAACCCCTTAGTCCCATGAACCCCTCAGTCCCATGAACCCCTTAGTCCCATGAACCCCTCAGTCCCATGAACCCCTCAGTCCCATGAACCCAGGTTACAGAAACAACCCCTGGCTGGTGACAAGTGGGAGGCAGGTGACAGCTGACCGGGGGGGTGAGCGACCGGCCACCCCTAATCCCCACAGGACACAACAAGAGGCTGGGGACACAGGCTGCAGAGGAGGAAGCTACTAATAGCCTGAGATCCCAAGGACAAGGTCTGTGGCCACCTGGAGGTAAGGGCCAGTCCTTCCAGGCTGAGGCCCGGCTGCCCAGGCAGGTCTGGAACCAGGGTCTATCTGGGAAAGGGGAGGGCAGCAGCGGGAAGGAGAGGGGTTCCCAGCCATCCTGCTTCAGGCGCTGGTGGAGTAACTGGACCTGCCCACTGGGCAACATTAACTAAAGGACTCTGCGAACCCTGGGGTAGAGGAGAAGGTCACTGAATAGACCTGCTGAGCCATCATATGCTGGAGTGACCGGGGAAGCCTGCCTGTCCAGGCCGCGTGTCCGGTGGGCGCTCCTCCCGCAGGGAGTGGCTGCAGAACAGCTGTCCCACTTCCCCTGCTGGGCTCTGGGGTTTACCAGTCTCCCAGGCCCAAGCTCATGACGAAAGCCACTTGATCCTAAAGCTTTGCTATTTCTGTTAATGCGGTGATGACCTAAGTGTAGCTAAGAAAAGACAGGAGTTCAGCTCTGGCCATTTTATAGATGAAAAGTAGATTCCATTACTCTCCAGAATTTCTCTATTCCTTTAAATATAAACCAAAATACTCACCGTTGCCTGGAAGGCTGGGTGCTGCAGGCCCAGGCCCGGGCCCTCTGCCGGCTGGTCCTCCATCGGAAGCCCTTCTGCTGAGATGAGGGCTGAACATGGCCCAGCCCCTTGCCTGGGGCCTGTCTTCGGGCCCCACGCCGGTGGCGGAAGCTGAATTCACAGCAGGTCAAATGTGACTCCTCTGGGCTCCTCTGGTTCATCGCTCATCAGAGCCAGAGACAGCTGGTGAGCATTCTTGGCATCAGCGCGGGCAGATTCTTGAAGGAAGATATTAAGTTGGCTCAGCCGCCCCATTTCTAGGCCAAGATAGCAAACCTGCATAGCTAAGGACTCTTGGATGTCTGTGGCACGGCTTCTTGACAGTGAAAGATGCATTTTTAGTCTAATAGCTGGAAGCTATGATTCGCAGAGATGCGTGGGGGGAGGAAGAGGAGGAGGAGGAGGCTTGGCCCTGAGCTGAGTTCTGTGCACCAGAGCCTGCCAGCCGGCCGCATTTGTATCATCAGCAGCCTCGATACAGGCGCACAAAGCTTGGCTCTCCCCAGCCTGCAGAGTTCGGCTAAACCAAGAGGAACCAAAGGCAGGAAGAGGAGGAAAGAGCCACGTGTTTTGAGGGCTTCAAGCCGGGAGGTAGCTATCTCCATTCCCAGTTTTGAAACGAGACTCTGGGGCTCAGAGAAGTTAGGTCGCTGGTCAGAGAGCGAGTATGTCTAGCAGGTGCTGAGACAGTCCAGGACCAGGACAGAGGGCAGAGGCCCGAAGGGCAGGTGGCAGATATTGTGGGTTGTGGGGAGTGGGCTGGCGGAGGGGGGGGCGTTGTGAAGGTGCAGGAGCCAGTTCCCTCTGATTCCTGGGTGGGACCAGGGTCCCCTCCCCAGAGTGTATGCACTGGGCTACCACCAGGGGGCACTGGTAAAATCCAGCCAGTGGGAGCTTATGTGGACTTTTATACTTATTTCATTACTAGAGGCCTGGTACACGAAATTCGTGCATGGGAGGAGGGAATCTCTCAGCTCGGCCTGCACCCTCTCCAATCCGGGACCCCTTGCAGTCAGACATTCCTCTTGCAATCCAGGACTGCTGGCTCCTAACCACTCACCTGCCTGCCTGCCTGATCACCCCTAGCCACTCTGCCTGCCAGCCTGATAACCCCCTAACTGCTCTCCCCTGCCAGCCTGATTGCCCCCTAACCGCCTCTGCCACAGTGGCTTTGTCTGGAAGAATGTCCGGTCTAATTAGCATATTACCCTTTTATAAGTATAGCTGGCATGTTCAAAGATGCATGAAAGTAGAAAGAGCAGTCAAAGCGGTCAATTTAACCCTTATGTGTGCCTCTCCCATGCCCACCTCATTTCCTCCAGAAGATATTAAAGTAAATCCCAGCATTGCAGTAATTGTACCTGAGAGGACTTCAGCATTTATATCTAATAACTGGACATGTTTAGGCCATAACTGCAATTCTACAATTATATCTAGCAAAATTTCTAACACCATTGCAATATCAACAAATACTTGCTCATGGTCAAACCCCTTGGTTTCCTCCAACAACAAACAAGAGTCCTTGCAGTGGCTGCTTCAATCAGGCTGCACACAAGGTTTCCGCACTGCAGGGGTCCCTTTAAATCTGTCCCATTTCCCCGCATCCCCTTTCCCATGCCGGTATCTGGCGGAGGAATCTGGGTCACCTGTTTCTGTAGAATTTCCCACGTTCTATATTTAGCTCAGGGTGGTGTTTAACTTAAATGTAACCTGGATGCTTCACTAGAGAAGATTCTAGCTTGTTGTTGTTTTGCAGAGTCATAGATGGCAGGGTGTTCTTATTACACTGTGTCTGGGTGGGTTTTTTTTGGGGGGGGGTGTTTTTTTTTTTCAGTGTTGCATCTAAATGAGGGCTTTTAGATAGTCACAAAATCTGGGTAATTATAATAATAATGACAATGATAACAGTACCATAATAATAGTAGTGATTAGGTGTACCGGTAAGTGATGCAGATTGATGGAGCTACACATATGTTGATATATATGCGATTTGATATGTATGCTATTTTGTCGCATTGACAACAAGCTTCAAAACTTCATATGTCAAATTTTCTGAAGGTGTTAACATCATAGATATTTTTACGCTTAAAAATGTCAAATTTCGTGCCAAAAAAAAAAAGCATTGAGGGGAGTTATAATTCATTATTCTGAAGAAAAGTGCTAGCGATGGACATGACTTTGAATGAAGCACTTTTGATGTTTCTCTTGAAATTATCATGTTTTCCTTGATTACAAAATCCGCATTTTTAACTGGTTAATGGCTAATCCGCATTTTTAACCGGTACGCCTAGTATTGAAGGTTGCTTGTGCCAGGCACTTGGCCAAAGGCTGCACAGAGCTGTTTACCTTCGTGTACATCCTCATTTTATGGGGGACCAAGTCGATGAGTAGAGGGACTGACTTCATGACTTGCCCAGAGCACACAGCTGGTACGCGATGAAGCTAGAATTGGAGCCCCAGTCGGTCTCATCCCCAAGCCCAGGTTCTCTAACCTTCTGTGGGGTTTGGTGACTCCGGTCCAAGAAGGCATCCCACCTAGTGACGCTGGGGAACAGAAAGGACAAGGGCAGAGAGGGCACCCCACAGCCTGGGCTCCTGACAGAGACAACAGGAAAGGCAAACGATGGCCTCTTTAGGAAAGACTGCAGGCGGGCAGGTGTGTGCGGAGAGCTCTGTGCTGGGTAGGAGGGACGGGGGCCCTGTGCCTGCCCTCTTCTGGTAGGCATACATGGAGCCTGGCAGGGTTGATAGGGTGGCTCCTGGCTGCTTGGGGGTTCCTGGCAGTCCTAGGCTCCCCCTAGAGCAGTGGTTCTCAACCTTCCTAATGCCGCGACCCTTTAATACAGTTCCTCATGTTGTGGTGACCCCCAGCCATAAAATTATTTTCGTTGCTACTTCATCACTGTAATGTTGCTACTGTTATGCATCGTCATGTAAATATCTGATATGCAGGATGTTTTTTCATTGTTACAAATTCAACATAATGAAAGCATAGTGATTAATCACAAAAACAATATGTAATTATCTATATGTTTTCCGATGGTCTTAGGGAACCCCTGTGAAAGGGTCATTCGAACCCCAAAGGGGTCACGACCCACAGGTTGAGAACCGCTGCCCTAGAGGAAGGAGAACTCTCCATCTCAGACCATATGTGAACCAGTTCTCAGAATAAGATGCCACGGTCTGTGGTTTTGGGATTAGTGCTCACTGCTGGGACCCTCCCGCAGGGCTCATCTGCACCAAGACAAAAGGTGCATTTTAGCCCTCGCAAACTTATGCAAATATACTTCTTACATTCAGGGTTCAGACTCCAGACATTTGTAAACAATTTTGCATCTGAAGCTTCCTCTAAGTGCCTGAGCATGAAGATTCAATTTAAGCAATCAGCCCATTTGTAGGGAGAAATCACAAATCAGTGACACTAGATGGAGCTGTGAATAGGGACTGAGCCCTGACACTCAGCTCCATCAGAGGATTCGGTTCTGAGTGAAGCAGGAAAAAAAGGGGGAGCGACTCCTCTGGATTTCCAGGGCAGGTACCACCCGCCCGGCTTGCTGTCACTTTTTCCCAGCGAGTGAGGCAATGGCAAAGGGCTGCTCAGGGAAGCCCGAGTGAAGAATGGGTCATGTTGAGTCTCACCAGCAACCCATGGTACCCCCAATAGATGGGAAATGCTCACCTGACCAGTGAGCCAGGGGGAATCCCGTCAGCCTCCAGGACATCAGCTTCGCATCACCTGGTCAGCACTCATGGCCACAGTCACATCCACTTCTCCTCAAGGCGGAGACGGAAGGCATCACGCCAAAGCTCCGTGTACGCGCATGTAGTAGCATGACCACACACAGGTGCGCCTTCGCATCCCAGGCTTGCTCTAGAAGTTAGCCTTCTTTTCTCTCCATTGGGTTACTACGTCCTCTTGGTCACGGACTCCTCTTGATTCTACCTGCAAAATTCCCACGGATGCATGAATTTCTCTTCCTTCACTCTGCTCTTGTGTGAGCTCAGTCTTCGCTCTTCAGTTTTTATCACACATATGCATGGATGTGCAAAATAGTTCAGGAGGGAGGAGCAAGCAGCCCTAACTGGATGGGGTTGGGGGAGCCATGAAGGGAGGCTCAAGGTAGACATGACCTTCTGCCTGGCTTCCTCTATAAACCGTTCCCTAAAGCAGAGGTTCTCAACCTGTGGGTCGCGACCCCTTTGGGGGTCCAATGACCCTTTCACAGGGGTCGCCTAAGACCATCGGAAAACACATAGATAATTACATATTGTTTTTGTGATTCATCACTATGCTTTAATTATGTTGAATTTGTGAGAATGAAAATACATCCTGCATATCAGATATTTACATGACGAATCATAGCAACATTACAGTGATGAAGTAGCAACGAAAATGATTTTATGGTTGGGGGTCACCACAACAGGAGGAACTGTATTAAAGGGTCGTGACATTAGGCAGGTTGAGAACCACTGCCCTAAAGCACGCAGGACAGGCCTCCGCATCCTACACACAGTTCTCTAGGACAGCCCTATTCTGCATTCCTTTGTTTCCTTTCTAGTCTTAGAGGTGGGAGCTTGTCTCTCTCCTCCCCTACCTCCACGTTCAGTGCCTGGTGAGAAGCTTTGTAAATATTGGCTGAATGGACCAGCGAATGAGGCCCCGACACAATTTGAATCAATAACCCTGAAGCAGTAATGAGTAGTTATGAATTAATAGGTCAATCCTATTTTAAAATTAAGTTAGAAATGATCTTTTTTTTTTTCTTCTGTTGATAGACCACTTAGAGAGAATTAGGTCATCAGAGAAGGATGACCACACAAAATACTACACACGAATGCTTATAGCGGTTTTATTCATGATTGCCAAAAAGTAGAAGCAATCAGGATGCCCTTCAGTAGGGGAGTGGACAAATACATGGCAGTTCATTGGAAAATGGAATGTTATTCAGCGCTAAAAAGATATGAGCCATCAAGCCATGAAAAATACGGAAGACACTTCAAATGCATATTACTTTTACAGAAGCCAATCTGAAATGATTCTAACTACTTGACAATCAGAAAAAGGTAAATAAAATAGAGACAGTAAAAAGATCACTGGTTATCACGGGTTGGGGCAGGAGGAAAGACTCCATTCTTTTTTTAAAAAAAAAAATATTTTTATTGATTTCAGAGAGGAAGGGAGAAGCAGAGAGAGATAGAAACATCAATGATGAGAGAGACTCATTGATTGGCTGCCTCTTGCACGCCCCCCACATGTGCCCTGACCGGAATCAAACCATGACCTCCTGGTTCATAGGTTAGAGGTCAACCACTGAGCCACGCTGGCCGGGCATATTATCTTCATTTGAGAAACAAGAAAGGGAGGCCCAGAGAGGTTATGTGATCTGCGTGTTAAGGACCCACACACCTGAGACTGTGGTGTGGCAAGGTTTACTCGTGACGCAAAATCAAATGAGTTCCCCTCCTGGTTTCTCCGTGTCCCATCTCCCTCCACGCGCCATGGAAAAAGCCCAGCCTTGTCTTCACCAAGGCCAAGACAGAGGACAGTGTCCAGAGTTCCTGCTTCGCATTAAAACTTGGTTCTTTGGAGCCCTCGTGGTCTGCTGCGGGCCCCAGGTGGGCACTCGACCCGCCTGGTCAAGTGTTTCCTGGTGGGAGAGAACATGAAGGAACCAGGAGAGTGGGGGTCAGAGGGGAGAGAGAGGGAGAGAGAGGGAGGGGCTCTTTGTTTCTCTGCAGTTGTAGCCAGGAGCTTTTTCAAAATAACCAACACACCTCCCAAGCTTTCGTGGGCTTCTGAAGGGTCCACTCCCTGACCAATGATCTTGTTCCCAGGTTAGACTGACAGGTCTCTCTGGTCAAGCACTTCCCCCCTGCACCATTTTCACTTTATTCTGCATATGCTTACCTCTCCCTGCCCCCCCGCTCCCCAAATCCTATAGGCCAGGGCAGGCTGCTCCCTACGTCGGGGAAGAGAGGGGTGTGAAGCTGACTTCCTGGTGAAGCAAACAGGCCCAGTGTCCCAGCCCGTGAGGCCCAACAATGTCCACGTCCTTTTGCGTCCTTCTTATTAATATCTAGGTAACTACAGTAACACAATGAGAATTTCCAGGTGGTAGAAGCATTTATAAAAAAAAAATGGCAGATCAACCGTATTCTTCAAAAATGTCAAAGTCATAATGTTAGGGACGGGAATATAACATTCGGGACCAGCCATAATTATAAGAAATATTCATCATGCTCTGTTAACCATGATTGTTTTTGATCTGATTTAAGAGAGTACATTCTAACCTGGCTGGGAGTTGTACACGGGACCTGGGAGCTCACCTGGAAATGCTGTCCACCCTCCCCATCCGGGAGCTGCCGATTATCACGGAAAGATGGACAACCTTGTTGAGGAAAGAAATGGAGTCCTGGATGCCCCCTGCCCTTTGCAAACCCCCCAGCTCACATGGCCCACTTTGCCTGCAACCTGTAACTATTGCTATAGTATATCCATTCTTATTCCCTTTGCCCAGTTCCCCATGTAATCTTTGTCTTTGTACCCCATATAAGCAGCTGGATTATGGGGGAGGGGGCAGAGCAGATTCCTGGATGACCTGCAGCTCTCCCATACTGCCGGCATTATTAGAATAAATGCTCATATATAATTCAACCCTGTCTCTGCTTCATTGGCTCAAGTAGTGACAGGCTGCCCGGACCCATTGGTTCTCCAGTTTCAATAATAGATTTTTTTTTAAAAAAGACACAAAACTTTTACAGATTAAAGGAGACAAAGAACTATGGTATGACAGTACAGTATGCGATCAATCTTCTACTGCAAGAAAAGCAACGCTATAAAAAAGACATAAATTGACAAAATTGAAGTATAGGCAGTAAATTAGATTTAAGCTCTGTATTAATAATCAATTTTCTGAAGTTAATAATACTGTCTGCATAAAAGACAATATTTCTTTGCCTAGAAATGCACACTGAAATATTTTAGGTATAAGAGGCCAGGGCGCATGTAATTTATTCTCAAATAAATGTTTAGTAAAAATGAAAATATGTATGGTACTACATCTAGAGAGACAGCAAATGAGAATAAAATGTTAAAAATAGGTGAATTCAAATCTAGGGTATAGAAGTAATTCTTTTCTACTGCAACTTTATAATTTTAAAATTGTTAGGTCTGATCACATAATCGAATCGATATCCCCTCCCCGGAAACGGACCTTTCGATCATTTCGCAATTGACATTCCCTTTTGCTTAGACCACATTCCATTTTCTAAGACCATTAACTTTCCCCTTCGGACTTGCCCAGGATCCAGACCACCCAGTGAATTCCCCATTGAAAAAACCCCTCTGGAGTCCTTTAAAATCTCTGACTCCCCTCCCCGTCCCTGGGTGCTGGTGCCATTTGGGGGCTCAGCCCATCTGGTTTTTTTTGACCTAATCTATATATATAAAAGCATAATATGTAAAGTGTCCCCTCTGCAGTTCGACCGGGAGACGGGGAGTTTGATTGATCGCTATGATGTGCACTGACCACCAGGGGGCGGCGTAGACCATGGTGGGAAGGAGAAGGTGGGGAGGTGGGGAGGTGGGGAACCTGATTGGCCCTGGTTGCCTGCCGGGCCTAGGGACCCTACCCTTGCATGTTCACCGGGCCTCTAGTAAATGTATAATTCTTTACCCCTTTTGTGTGTTCCTCCTTCGGCGACCCTAACAGAAATTATTTCCAAATATTTTTGTAAATGGCTCATGGACTGGGTTCCCCATTTTGAGCTTCCCTGATTTTGCTTCTCAGAGCCGCCACCATCGCCACCACAAGCAGCCCCTAAAAGGCGCACTACAGATGTGCTAATGAGTCTGCATGAGGGGAGGACCGGGGCACCCTAAGGAATGAAGCCGGGGCTGGAGTATTAGCCATCCAAAGCAAGGAAGTTGAGATTCAACTCTACATCATTCCCGGGGGTGGAGGGAGAGGAACAAGAGGAAAAAAAATAACTAAAATATTGATGGGAAGGGATTGAGATAAACTAGATTTAGTATCCAGTTTATGTGTTTGTTTTTAAAAGAAGCCACCGTTTTCTTTGTCTTGTTTAAATTTTGTGTTCTTTTTCTTTTAAAAAAAAAATGAGGTATGATTGACGTACAAAAAAGCTGTACATATTTAATGTACAAATATTGATGAGTTTTAAGATAATTATATACCCTTAAAACCACCATAGTCACCACATAAAATACCATAAGCTTAACTGTCGCTCCTAAAAGTTCTAAAATTTTCTCTGTGGGGGAGAAAGGGAGGCAATCACCCTGGCTCTCTGATGTGACTCGGCCACAGGGTGCCCCCAGGGTCCCCACAGGGTCCCCCAGGCTTGAGCAATGACCTGGCTGGGCCCTGCACAGGCTTTCCACACCTGCGTTTAGCTTGGCTGCACCCCAGGGAGCGCTTCCCGCCTCCCGCAGGCTCTGCTTGGAGAGATCTCACCTGCAGGATGGCCTCCGCATCGCCTGCTTCTGGCGTGTTTGTGCCCCGTGTTCCAATCTAATGATTCACAACCAGAAAGCCATGGGGTGTAGAGCACTAATTGAAATTTCGGTGCTTGCTTTCCGCATTCTGGGAACGCGCACGTCTGCCTGGTTAAGTGAAGAGGGGTTGTATTTTCTAGCTCATTGATTTATCCTCATCAAGGCGCCAAATATAGCGCCGTGTGAGTCAGCATGGGGAGCGCGCTTCTCCCGCGCCCTCGACCTCAGACTGCCATCGCCTCCAGCTCTCTGCATGTGCAAACAGCCTGAATTGGATTTGGTGTGATCCCCACTCCTCCCCTGTCAGCGGCTATTTATCGCATTTAGGTTCCAAATGGAGGATTTTAGTGAGACCCTCACAGTGATCTCTGCACAGTGCTGGCTCCAAGGAGAACACCCTGTAGGTCTGGCCCAGGGCCTTGTGCCTGGCCTTGCGGGATGGACCGGAAAGCCAACTTCGCTGCCCCCTCCCCTCCCTCTCACCAGACCTGCTCCCTGCACGAGGAGGTGGCATCCTGGCTGTGCCAGGGATTTCCCAGGAGAAGGACGGAGCAAGTGAGGAGCCATAGGCAGTTCCCACGTGGCACGGGCTGGGCTGCAGGGGGTGGAGCCCAGAATCTGGATTCCCCCAAACCCACCCTTGCCTGCCGGGGTGCCCTTCACAGAGCTATGCTTCCCGACTCCCCCGAAAGCAGGTGGCAGCAGCGTCCTAAGGCACCGTCATGCTGTCACACACAGAGACACACTTAGGGACAAAGACACCGACCCACAGTCACATGGTCACATGGAAAGACACGCATGCACATGGCCGTCACAGGGACGCACACATTCACTGCCTGCCACTCGCTCTCTTCTTCTGACTCAGCGAAAATTATGTGAACTGTCTTATTTCCATCTCTCTTTCCGTTATTCCCATCTCTCCACCCCAGGTGATGTCCACCAAACCTCTTGGTCTCGCTCCCAGCCCCTCATAGGTAGGTGCACTCAGCGCACGTGGTGGGTGTGCCTTTCGGGCACCGTCCTCCATTCTCTCTTCCCATTTCTTCCATCGTCACGCAGATGAACTTGACGGGCACATTCTGAACTTTACATGATAAAGAAATGAATGCATGTGCATGGAGGCCCTGAGACTCTGGAGCTCCCCGTAGATCCCCCAGCCTCACCTGGACTCAGACAGTCCTCCAACCAGGTAGCCGCTGCGTGAGACCACCAGCCGTCCATCGGCACCCAGTGCTGCGGAATGAATGGGTGCGTGAATGAAGGAACAGGCGAATGAAGGAACATTCAGGGGACATCCACACGCCCTGCGTCTGCCTCCCCCCATCTCTCCAGTCTGACCCCGAGGCTGGGCTGGTGTCCCTTCCTGGGCACACACAATGGCCGGACTTGTCCTCTCGGGGTCGGGGAGCTGTTGCCCTGTGTCCCCACCCCTGCCAGGCTGGGGGCTCCATGTGGCAGGACAGCGTGGGTCTCGCTCACTGCTGTTTCCAGCTCCGGCCGCGGGGCCCGCACACAGTAGGCACCTGGTAGACGCACCCCCTGACTGAATGCCTTCACCGGGATTTGTTGGGACTTTGAGTCGACCAAGCCCTCCCGTGGATCTGTTTGGTTCCTGGGTTCAGACAGCGAGGGCTGTGGTGGCGAGAGGGACAGCGTGATCAGAATGTGCAGCCCCCTGGGTTAGAGAGAAAGTGCTCAGAGGGCAGACTCTAACCTGGACCAACAGGGATCACTTCAGTTCATGTCTCCAGGCCTTCCGTGCAGAGAGCAGGGGTCGCCTGCACTCTGGTTCTCTCGCTCTTCAGAATAAAGTCTCTGAGGTAGAAGGGACCCAGGACAAATGCCAATCTAGGCCCAGGAAGGTCGAGGGCTCACGGAGCCGCACACAGCACGTGGGTGGGAGAAGCAGACCTGGACTCAGCCCCGAATCCCCTCCCCCTTTGTGCTCTCTGCAGAAGCCCAAGAGGCTCTCAGAATAGCAGCAGCCTGGCCTGGATTTTCTGAGAAAGCCCTGATTTCAAAGAGTTTTGCCGTTTGCCTGTGACTGCACTAGAACTTGTCAGGCTCTCCTGTAGTCCCGCGTGGAGACTATGTGTCCATCTGTCCCAGGCGCAGCCCAGACAGACACCCTGCGCCTCAGGCCACTTCCCGGCTGATCATAGAGGTCAGCCTGAGAACCCTCCCACTAGAGGGCACCCACCCACCCCGTGCCTGCCAAGCGCCAGCCTTGTCCCCTAGCACCATCCCCCCCACCCCCCTCCCCCTCTGACACCTCCGGGGAAAGCCTTAGGTCTTTTCCCGGCCTCCCAGGCTCTGGAGTCCCGGCTGACAGGAGTGGGGAAGACGCTGGCCTGGGAGAGCTGCCAACCTGAGGGGCCGGGCATCCAGACCACAGCGGAGCCATCGCACTAAACACCACTTGACATGTTGGCAGCATCACGGACGGCGGTGCCTGTGGAAATGTAGGTCAGTGCTTGCCTGCGAGACGGAAGAGGCAGGCCCGCTGGCGTGGAAGACAGAGGAGAGCAACTACGAAATGCAGATTCAAGAAGCATCAGCGAGCTTCGATACGTGGAGACGAAGGACACCCAGGAGGCCGGTGGGTTGTAACTGGTTCCCAATCTGGTCAGGAGTCCAGGACAAAGGATGCAGGGAAGGGAGCAGGTCAGAAGCTTCCAGAGAGGACGGTCTCTCTCTGAAGCGGGTCAGGGCCGTGCACTCACCTCCGAGCTCAAGACCATCCACCTGCGCCCAGCCAGGGGCCCAGTAAATCCTCTCACCTGCAGTAAAAGATTGTGGCAAGAACATTTTCACTCATTCACCCGACCAACGTTCACACATTGCCCACTCTGGCCAGACGGAGACTGGCCTGCGAGCTGTGGCTGGTGACAGCTGCGGGCACAAGTTCCGGAGCATGTGTTCCCAGTGGACCCCAGCCTGGTGGGGCTGGCAGGGAAGGCAGTGAGCCTGGGAGGTGCGCTGGGTCAGTGGAGAGCCTGCCCCAGGGACCTGGGCATCGGAGAGGAGAGGGCAGTGCAGCAGGTGCCCAGGCCTTCCTACCCCTCTAATCCGTACCTCTGCCTGGCACGGCTGGGTCCTGATGACACAGCCCAGAAGCGAGGTGAGCCCTCCCCGGGCCTTCCCTGGGCCCGGTCTCGCCAACTCATCTAGGCTGCCGCTCTGCAGAGAAACAAAAGCACCTCCTACATGATTTTTTTTTAAGCAAGAGAAGGAGGGGATAAAAAATAGCACACGATTAGGAAGCCACTGAACTTCTGTGCAAACTAATGAACAAACCAGCCCTTGACAACTTCTCCCAACTGCCGCCGACAGGATAATTGGGCCTAATTTCTTAATTTTAATGCCGTTGTTGCATTTGACTTCTGCTAATGAGACGTAAATATGTGTTTCGGGTTTGTGCATTTGTTTAATTGCAGGGTAGCCAAACCGATTGGCTAGAAGGGTCGCCGTTTGTTTATTCATTTTTATTTTCACATGCCCCTCGATGGCGGGAAGAGTAAAGACCTCCGAGCCCGCCCCCTCCCCCCAGGGGCTGGCGGTTTGGGGTGCGGGGAGGAAGATGGGAAGGAGGCTCCCCAGACCACCGCACCCTCATCGGCCACACCGATCAGAAGGAGGCCTATGGTGTCTCCGAGGAAGGAGGGACAGGATGGTGTCACGCAGGTCACAGCTGGTGCCTGGGGCTGACCGAGCAGAGACTTGAACGAGCCTTCCGGTCACGGTGCTGGTGGGAGGCGGGGTCGTGGATCATAATATCATCTGTCCTGTGATATCGCAGGTCTGTGTCGAGGCCGGACCGCACGGATGGAGATTTTGAAAGAGCCCGTTTGCGGGAAAGTTTTAGAAACCGGGAGCAGTGACACAACATTCAGGATCGTTTGGTGCGAACGTGAGGGTGGAGCGACGGACTCTCATTGGCCCTTCCCAACCCTGTTCCCAGCATCTCCCGCTGCGAACCACAAGTAATTCAGGCGAATGAGACCCTCTGTTCAGGGGATCACACTTCTCCTTCTCGCTCCTGGGGGCAGTGCCGGCCTGCCCAGCGGCCATGGCTGCTCGCAATGGTGGCTCTCTGGTCCTGCCCGCACAGGTGATGAGCGAGGCCATTTAGGGAGTATCACCCTGGCAAAGGTTCCCTCTTCCTCCTCTTGAAAAATGGGCAGCTGGCCGATGATGTGGGAGCCATGACCATCCTTCAGAGCCTTCGCCCGGACGGACGGATGGGATTTCTGGCCTTTGTAAAGGGGAATTTTGCGACGAGAGCCTCTCCCCTGGGCTGTGCCTGCCTCCCCTCGGGGACGCTGAAACTGTGGTCGAGGCTGGAGGAAGGTTTCCCGGCTGAGGAAAGAGGCCTGCCCACGGTCGCAGAGCTCCAGGTGGCCGCTGGGCTGGCACCCGCTCCTCCGGCTCTGTCAACTGGCTGGGTGAGCTGTGAGCAGTTGGTGGGGCACCAAGAGGAGTATGGAGCTGGGGTCCTTAGGAGGGGCAGGGCCTGCGGGAGGGAACGGTGCACCAGCAGTTGGCACCTCAGCCCTGCCCAGTGGCGCTTCTGCCCACAGCCCCCGAGCTGGAAGCTGGGCCTTGCACCTCACCAGGTCCCCTGCCTTTGTGGCCATGCACAGGCAGCTGATTAGGAGGGAAACAAACAAAACCCAGGTGCCCTGCAGTGTTAGGGACATACTTACACTAACCCCGTGTGAGGGTACCTGGCGTGCACATCACCTGGGCATCCCGTGTTCAATCGGATGGGCCTGCACGCACAAGGCCACTCCGCTCCGTGCCTCCGAAGCCGACGGCAGTATTTAAACCCGGCTTGAACTTGGCCCACAATCTGGGTGACCGCCATCCCCTTCTCCTGTGGCCTCTTCCTAACTTCCTTAGCAGGAGCTCAGCCCTTCCTGGGAATCGCTTCTCAGGCACGGCCCTCACCAACGGCTACTCGACCGACCGTCTGCCCAGCGACCAGATGGAGCTGGCCCTGCGTCCCTGCCCTAACCGTCCTGGTTTGCAAAGAAGGCGGAGCACTTTCATTCCCGGTGGCATTTTAGGGAGGAAGGAATCCGAGTCATTTGGTTTCTTTGGTTTCCAAGTGAGATGGCACGCAGGTCCCCTGGGAAGCACTGGGCAGAGGGACTCACCTGTCTGTCCCCGAGACACAAGCAGCAGCTCAGGTGGCTGGATGCTGAAGGGGCCCGGGCTTCTGGGGGAAGAAGGAAGGCGGGACGAAGCAGCAAAACTGGTTGCTATGGAGACGGTTTCCCCAGCAAGTGGAGGAGCTGGGGCTGTCAGTTGGAGCTAACCTTGAAGGGTTTCGCCAGAAGAGAAAGGATATGTAGGCACAGATACAACATGTGACGTCTGACCTTTTCACGTGGGAGGCTGGGGATGGGTGTGGAGGTGCCAGGGAAGATTCCATGGCCCCGGGGGAGGGTGCAGGGAGAGGGAAGGGAGAAGGGGCAAGGGGAGAGGGAAGGGAGGCAGGGAGGAAGCTGAGCCCTGAGGAGGTAGGAAGGAGGAGGGAGGGTATGGGCAGGGCCACATGCTGAGGTCAGAGCACATTTCCTCCCATTTGACTCTCTCCAAACCCCAGTGTCGAGGACGTCCCTGTCCCCTTGGTGGTGAGGGTGCTGGATGAAGACCTAGAGGGGCTCATCCAGGCTCCGGTCAGTAATGGACGGGGCTGGGGCTGAAATGCAGGTTTTCTGACTCCAAAATCCATACTCATTCTCCCACGGAGGATCCCCCTGAATCACTCCAGTGACCCAGGTCTCGTGGGGGTGAGGGTGGGGTGGGGGTGGGTAGAGGCTACAGGGGCTCTAATCCAAATCAAGAAGAAGAGCCCCCGCCCCTCCTTTTCCCAGCTGGGCTCCTGTCCAAACACCCACCCTCTTCTCTTTCATCACATGACTTCCCAGTAGTTGGGGAACATGGGGAAGGAGGATAGAGAGCCAGTGAGCCCAGAGGACTGAGAGGGGCTCCAGGGAGTGAAACTCACTGTGGGGACGGGGCAGGGGGCTCTGGAGCTCCGGTGCCCCCACCAGGGGGCAGGCACCGCCCACCCATGGTCCCTGGCCCCAGGCTGAGACCTACCAGTGCATGCTGAGTCAGGCCCCCTCTCGCTGCTGAGCGTCTGCTGCGGCAGGAAGTACCCGTGATAATGACCTTCCCAGAGCCAGGTTATTTCTGTCCTCGGCAGGCAGACACATCAGGAGAGGCAGAGTCCACAATTAGCAAAAGCAATTAGCGGGCGGGCTGCTCGGGCCCTAACGGCTGTGTGCGAGTTAGGACCTGGCCAGGTAAACCTCGGCCCAGTGTCTGGACACGTGGGAGGTGGGGTATCGGCGCCCTCACCCAGGGTCCAGGCAGGACCACCCACCTCAAGGGCACCGTCTCCTTTTGGACTTGGAGGGCCTGGGCTGGCTGAAGATTTCCCGCCTGACAGACACCCCATGGCTCCCCAGACAGACCAGAAGGTCTGGGAGGCCGGGAGGGCAGGTTGAGTGAGCTGAGCCCGGCAGCCAGCTGCCCGCTGCCGAAAACAGCCTGGGCCGCGGGGTGTGAGACACGGGGCAGGTCCGGGGCTGGGCCCAGTTCTGAGTCAGAGGACGGGATCCAGGGCTGGAGCATCTCCTGCGGAGGGGCCCGGGTTTCTCTGCAGTGAAACTGTTCCCGGGAAACCTCCGGTTGGGCTGGAGCGGCCCATCACTGTGTCCAATCACGAAGGCAGGGTTTATTGCGAAGGCCAGCCCAACAAGAAGACGGGGCGCTTCCAAGCATCAAATCCTGTCTTCCAGCAAGGCGCAGAGGACAGGGTGGTAAAGGGGACGGGGCTGGGGTGTTACCTGCAGCCCTGGGGGTCCGCAGACGTCAGCTGTTGCCCTTCATCCTCAGGCGATGAGATGATGTTGACGAGATGGAGATGATGTTTTGACTCCTGGTGGGTCGGCGTGACCTTGCTTACCGGTTCGGCTTGCTGGATTCACAGCTGAGTTACCTCCTCCATCGCATCGCCCAGGCCTTGAAAGGAAACTTGAGAAAAACTTAACCCCCTGGTCACATCTGAGAAAGTTAACCCCCTAGTCCCATAAGGATAGGTGTTCTAAGATTTACAAGAATATGACTACTTTTCAGATTAATTCAGGTGCTCTGTCTATCAGGTTATAGGTCCCCTCTATCAAATGAGAGCCTGCACATCCGTGTGCGTGGGGACGGGCTGGGTAATGCCACCTACGGACAGCTCCATGTCAGAGCCCCGCCGCAGCGAACATGTGAGTCTTACGCCAGGGCCCCTGTGAGTCTGAGCAGCTCTTCAGGGCAGCAGTGCCCAGGCAGTGGCTCCACACACAGCCCATGCGACTCAGGCGAGGGGGCCTGCTATGTCCCCCCTCCAGACACCACCTTCGTGGGGGCCAGGAGACAGGGCTGGAGCCCGGCTTCCCACAGCCTCTGCCCAGAAGGGACCCAGCTCCCTCCTGCCGGCCTTTCTCCGTCCGACCTAGCCACACGCCTGTCTGTCGGCCAGGAGGCCTGAACGTCAGTCTCCCATCTCCCAGGAAGGGAAGGGGACATCGGGGAGCTTGAAGGTCCATCGAGGACAGGCTGTCGCTGTCACTAAGAATCTGTGAACGTCTGGAGGGAAGGGTCCATATCTCCACCAAGCAGAGGATTCTGCCGGCAGCTTCTTCCCGTGCCTGGTGAGGGCCTGTTTGTGGTTCCTGTTAGATTCAGGGTTAAAGTGACGCTGACCTGGGGACAGCAGCCTCCAGTGATTACGAAGAGGCTCACGGTGGATGGGGGCAGCCCGAGGAGACAAAGCCCAGATCCTCGCCCCATGCTCACTCTCAGGCTGAGGAGGAAGGGCAAGCAAAGAAAGTTCAAATTTGCTCGGCCGGCGGCGTGGCTCAGTGGTTGCACGTCGACCTGTGAATCAGGAGGTCACGGTTTGATTGCCGGTCAGGGCACACGCCCAGGTGGCAGGCTCCATCCCCAGAGTAGGGCATGCAGGAGGCAGGGGATCCATGATTTTCTCTCATCACTGATGTTTCTATCTCTCTCCCTCTCTCTTTCTCCGTTCCTCTCTGAAATCAATAAAAATATATTTTTTAAAAAAGAAAGTGCCAATGAGTCCTGCAGGGCGTGTGCTCATCGCGCTGTCGGGATCCAGGGCAGAAGGGAGGGAGCTGTGAGAGGAATCAGGTGAGGCCTCCTGCAGGCAGTGCCTGCTGACCAAGCCTGGTTTCCCCGGGCCCCAGGCTTTCCTGCAGCCTCACTGCTGGTCCAGCTCCTGCCCTCGCTTCTGAGCCTCGAGGGCAGCAAAGGCCATCACCCCAGGCCTTTGCAAACCCCCAGCTGGCTCAGCAATCCGGGTCCTTCTTCTAGGACCTGGCAGGCGAGAGTAGAATCACCCACACACTCACCCCAGCCCCTGGGGCAGAGTGGGTGGTGGGTGGAGCGGGGAGTGGTGGAGCACTGAATTCTGTGTGGGCTCAGGCACCTGGCACCTGAGCTCAGGTGTTCACACAGAGGTGCGATGCCAGGGCTGGAAAGGCTCCCACAGTGCTGAGCACCCACACGGGGGGGCTTTCGGATCCCCCTCCTGAGACTCTGATCCTGGGCCAGGTAGGGGTCTCATCACCCTGCTGTGCCTTCCTCTCTGGAAACTCAACACCCCCTCAGGGGGGTTTGTGTCTGAGGCTATGGCCACTGTGCCTACTGGCACCCAGGCCTGGCACACCTCTCCCAGGGAAATGGGGTGCCATTTGCTGTGTATGTGTCTCGGGCCAACCCCAAGCTCCTGCCCTGCTCTCATTCTCCGGGTCACACAAACTTCTCAGCTGCGTCCCTATTTTTGTTGACGTCAAAAGTGGCACTACTGCTCTCGCCAGCCAAGGCACAGAGAAGCCCCTTGCTGCAGGCTCCGCCCGGAGCTGGAGTTGTGAGGGGCAGAGATAGAACGCCGGGGACCAGCTGGAATTGCAAGAAATATTCATCATGCTCTGTTAACAGTGGTTGCTTGGTTCTGACTAAAGATGGCACATTCTAACCTGGCTGGGAGTTGCACGCGGGACCTGGGCGCTCACCTGGAAATGCGGCCCTTCCTCCCCATCCAGGAGCTGCCAATTATCATGGGAAGATGAACAACCTTATCACAGAAACCAGAGCTGCCAGCCCTTTGCATACCCAAGCCTTTGCAAACCCCCAGCCCGCATCACCTGTAAACTGCATACCCATGCTGCATACCCATTCTTACCCCTTTCGCCTGCTTCCCCATGTCACCCTCATCCGTCTACCCAGTATAAGCAGCTGGCTCACGGTGGGCTCAGAGCAGATTTCTGTGGATGACCCGCTGCTCTCCATTCCGCCGGCAGGAGTGGAATAAATGCTCCTATATGATTCAATCCTGTCCCTGCCGAATTGACTCAAGCAGTGACAGGCAGCCCAGACCCATTGGCTGTCCAGTTACAGAGTAAGGAATCTGCTTTCTGGGCGCTGCCCCTGGCTCTGCGGCCTCAGTGAGGCCTTAAACAAGTCACTTGAAACACCTCTGAACATGAAGGGGGACATGGCCACTGCCTCTCTCACGGCGCCTTTGAGCAGGGGTCAGGGTGCAAGAGAAAACCTCTCTGTGTGGAGTCTGGAGCCTTAAAGACAGGTCCTCACTCAAGGCCCCAAGGTCAAGTGCAAGAAGGGAGGTGGAAACAAGACCTGCTTATCACCCCTGAGCGCAACATGAGTCTCCAGGCCCCAGGGCCCTTCTCCTCCCCCACGTAGCATCCAGACTCCGGCAAGATCTGACCACTCGTCCACCCACCAGCTCCGCCAGGCTCCCCAGGGCTGGGCAGAGTCCTGCAACACCAGCCACCATGCAGGGCCCCTGCCTGGCACTGTGGACGCTGTGAATAATGGAGTGTCCTGTTTGTCTAATGGATTTATCACTACGTGCGAATGCAGCTTCATCAACACGAGCAGGTGAAAATCGATGCCCAGGCGGCTAAGTGGGCCGCACTTCCCCTCGCAGCTTGGCAGGTATTGATAGTCCTTCGTCCACTCGCTGTTTTGCACTCAACGTGGAGCTGAAAGCAGGAATAAAAATGCCCTGGGCTCTTCTTGCCCACAGTGCTTGGCTCCCGACCAGGGCCGGGGCCTGGAGCCAAGTGTCCCCACGCAGCCCCCACTGCCCTGCGCTGAGCAGCGGCTCCCCCAGCCGGGCGGTTCCCCTGAGGGCTGCCCAGGGCTTCACTGACACGGGCCAGCCGTCACCGCGCTGACCCTGAGCAAGGACAGCACGGTCATCTGCGTGCGTGCACGTCCATGTGGTCGGTCTGTCTGTCTGTCTGTCTCTTGTTTGGTTTGGTTTCTGGCCAGGGCAGAAATGGGCTGTTTGGATTGGCAGGAGGGTCGGAAACGGATGTTTTAGAGAGATGGTAGATGTTTCTGACAAATCGGTGTTAGGATCTGGAAGAGAAACAGGGC